TGGACCTGCTCTCCGCGCTCATCCTCGCGTGAGTGGGACGGGGCGGCGTGTCATGAAGGGGTGGGGTGTCGTGAAGGGGCGGGGCCAGAACGGGGTCCCTGTTCTGTCTTCACCCCCAGGTGTGGAAGCCGCCTCCTGCGCTTCGGGGCCCTGATCAGCCGCCTGCTTCCCCAGGTCCTCAATGCCTGGAACCTCGGCAGGGATGCCCTCCCTCCGGGCCAGGAGAGGCCTTACAGGTGACCGGCGAAGGAGGGGTAGAGAGGGGAGGGTGGGCCGGGAGCCCCGAGGGGACCTGGCCGGCGGCCCCCTGACAGGCTTCTCTCCGCTCGCCCCTCAGTGCCGTGCGGACCAAGGTGTATGCCGTGTTAGATCTGTGGGTGCAGGTGTGCGGGGCCTCGGCGGGAGTGCTGCAGGGGGGCGCCTCGGGGGAGGCCCTGCTCTCCCACCTGCTCAGTGACATCTCCCCGCCCGCCGATGCTCTCAAGGTGAGCGAGGCCCGTGCTCCTGGCCGGGGACCGTCCCCCGCGCCCCTGCTCCCTAATCTCTGTGTCTGCCCACGTGTGTGACTCCCGCTTCCCTCCTCCGCCAGCTGCGCAGCCCCCGGGGGAGCCCTGATGGGGGACTGCAGTCCGGGAAGCCCAGCGCCCCCAAGAAGCTGAAGCTGGATATGGGGGAGGCCACGGCCCCGCCCGGGCACCGGAAGGGGGACAGCAACGCCAACAGCGACGTGTGCGCGGCCGCGCTGAGAGGTGGGTGAGGCCGTGCCCGGCAGCCTGGGGCCGTTGTTCAAGCGGTGTCCGTAAGGCCCAGGGCCGGCCCGGGGCTGCGGACGCCTGGGCTCCTGCGTCACATGGGGCTCCGGGCTCTTCCTGCTCCCGCAGGGTCTCCGCTACCTGCCCCGTGCTGCTGCAGCACAGGGTGGGGGCGGTCCCTGCCCCTCGGAGCTTGTGTCCCCCGCCCCACTCACCACCCCCAGCAGGCTGCTCAGCGGGGCTTCCTGCTTTCGCAGTCACTGATCAGGAAGCAGGAGCATAGTTGGTACCGTGTGGTTCGAGGGTGACTTTCCTTTGGGTCTTGTGTGTCGCCCGGCCCGCCACCCGCCGCGTGGAGAGGAAGGTCTCTCTCCCCGGGTCTGTGAGTGCGTCTGTGCGCGCGCGCGCAGTGCGCTTCCTCACCCGCCCGTGCTGCCCGCGGCCCTGGGCGCCGGAGGCACTCCTCTGACACCCGGTGTGCTGTCGAGAAGCCCAGCGACTCGACCGAGCCAGTCAGGGCCGGGGCCGCTGTCCGGCTCGGGCTGCGGAAGCCCCACTGGCCCGCCTGAGACGCCCTCTCCTCCCCCAGGCCTCAGTCGGACCGTCCTCATGTGCGGGCCTCTCATCAAGGAGGAGACTCACAGGGTCAGTGGAGACGGGCGCTGCCGTGCGCGGGGGCTGCCCCCCGAGGTGGGGTGTGCAGACCCGGACAAGGCTCGGGTGGGCTTGGCGACGTCTCGAGGTGCGCTCGTGTCCTTTTCAGAGACTGCACGACCTGGTGCTCCCCCTGGTCATGGGGGTCCGGCAGGGCGAGGTCCTGGGCAGCTCCCCCTATACCAGCTCCCGCTGCCGCCGGGAGCTGTACCGCCTGCTGCTGGCCCTGCTGCTGGCGCCGTCTCCCCGCTGCCCGCCTCCCCTCGCCTGTGCCCTGCAAGCCTTCTCGCTGGGCCAGAGAGAGGACAGCCTGGAGGTAACTGCCCACCTGAGCCCACCCCTGTGCTGTCGGGAGTGTCCTGTTCCTGACGCCACGGGCCCGCCCTCTCTGGGGCCGTGAACCCCTGTCCTGTCCCTGATGCCACGCCTGCCTCCGTCTTTCCTCAGGTCTCGTCCTTCTGCTCAGAAGCACTGGTGACCT